CCCCAAAACCCCAAAACCCCAAAACCCCAGATTGCAAAGTACCATAGAATTACCATTCTATGAAAATATTAAAGATCAGTTATTTAAATTGTAAAGGATTATTAGATTAACTTTATTTATTGTAGAAATAAAATGTCCAAAGCTGTGCTCATCAATAATATGCCACAGTAAAATTAAGTACAGCATAGAAATTTTGTTGCTTCCTCACAGAACCCGAATGTTATGAGATTGAACTCACGCGAAAATATCTTTCAGGATGAAGACTATTTCAAAGATAATGAGTCTTCTCATTCTGGAATGAGCAATCTCTCAAAAAGACCAAGGTTGGGTTCATAAACTTTCCCTCGTAAACAAGAAATTTATACTAGCTAATTCAGTGAAAAAGAAGATTGAGGATTTGTAATTAGAGAACTAAAACCTGCAAAAATCAAAGTAGATGTTAGAATGCTTAGATAGAATTCAAGCAAGAGACAATCAATCAGAGTACTACTTTAGGGATAATCTTCCTCAAAGGAACTAAATTTGTAAAAAATTGGACACGGCTTAAGCAGTCTTAACTCATCAATAGCATTTCCTAAAGATGTTGGTAATGATTAATCCCCTATTAAGAAGTTGATAAGAAAATCTTCCTCTAATGATATTAGCGTTATAGATGATATACCAAAAAAGGTATAGTTTCCAAATAATCCTCTTATATCTATCCCTGAAAAGAGAATCTAAACACAAAAACCACAAAAGAGACTCTAATAGTAAAAAAGCTAAATTCAAAGTCCCAATAAGCTCCTATCTCCAACAAAGGGTCATTTATCTCCAGAAATTGTGATAGATTTAAATTAGAAAGAAAACATATTCAATCAAGATATTAGAGTTGTCTAACAATATGATATAAGAGATAAGGAAAAGTAGAAGAAGAAGAAAATTAGACCTAATAAAAAAGACCTAAATTTAACAGTTGATTATTAATTAAATCGAGACTAATCTACAAATAAGTTTCAACAGTAGACAAGAGTATAGACTATAATGGACCGATATAAAAGATAATAGGGTACTTTGACAAACCAGAATAAAAATACTATCATTAGTCAAGATTTTAAAATAAGGAATATGTCAGCTGAAAAATAACTTAGGAGTAAATTATTTAACAATAAATTAGCTTAAAAAATTAAAATAAAAATTTAGTCTGAGTCTGAAGAAGATGAAAATTAAGAAGAAAGCTCATCAGCTGAAAGAAAAAGAATTTTCGCAAAATGCTTTCCCACAGCATTAATGAGAAAAACCTATAATTCAAATGTTAATGGGAGCTTGACAGAGAAAAAATAAAATGGTGATTACCCTAAGGGAAATGCATATCTGAAGGAACATATTTAGTAGAATGGTTAAATGAGAAAGTCATTTAGAGATGAAGAGATAACTTATAGAGAAAAAATGAATATAGTCATAAACCAAAATAACTATACAACAGACCTTCGTAAAAAATTTCAAGATCTTTCCTAAAATTTCGACGAGGCCAAAGTTATGTCTGAAGCCTCAAAGAATGTGCTAAATGAATCCTTAATGAATGGTTTCTACAATTAATTAAGCTTTTTAGACAAATTGGGAGTGTCTTAAACAAAGAAGCAAATTTAGAGCAAAGAGTTATCTCAATTGCTTCATGATACAAGTCATATGAATTCAATGATATCAGCAATCAAATTCAAAAGATTTAAGGAAGAAATGGTTGAGCGCAAGCAATCTCTCGCCTTTAAATTATCGAAAATCTACTGCGTGAAGAAACACTCCAAAAACGTCTATGAGTATCTAACAAAGGGACCCAATAAAAATAAGAATGAGGGTTTTCTAGAAGATGCTGATAGAGAAAAGTTTAACCTAAACAGAAGTTCAATATAGCAAAGTATGAATCAATGATTAGAGTATCAATAACGAGCTAAGTTGAAGATATTGCCAATTTATATAAATTTAAGTTAATAATAAATATAGTCATTTTATTTTGTAAGAATGAAGAGTTTCTTTAATTAATACATTTGAACTTTAAGTTATAATCATCCGTATTAATATTGACGGGGTTTTGGGGTTTTGGGG